AATATATTGTCAGGTTTTCATTTTGGTGAATTCCCTTGATGGTTTTTTGTATTCATGCTACAGGTTTCGTTTGTTGACGCGGGCACCTAATCTGAGCAAACATAATGTATGGCTATTTTTTAGTAAAGACTATTATTTACCGGATATGTGCATAAAGACACTACCGTGGATAATTTTATGAACCAATGGTATTGGTATTGTGGGGCTCCTTCCCTTGACTGGCTAATCCACCAACTTATGATTTGCCAAAGCAAAACCAATATCGCATCAGACGTTTGCTGCACAAGTTTTAATTTATTAGGAAACATTTTGCATCCTTCATTTTCACCTAAAATCATCGCTTTAATAAAACATTACTATTGTTGTTAGTGAAAGGCGACCCAGTTTGCACCCGTTGGCATAGAAACTCGAATTCGTGGTCGGCAGAGGCGCCACACTAATATGCTGGAGAATATTGTTTGCACAAATTTCAGTTATCCGAGATGCTGCCCAACCTATCGGGATAAAATGAGCACACCGGGGGCATTCTGCGAGTGAGCGACCTATTTCCGCCTTTCCAGTGTGAGACCAGTGGTCTTGTCAGTAAATCAAGTTCAACCTTGGCATTTTGTAAAAGATAAAAAACTGTCAACAGAGACTTGTTTAGAAGCTCAGGATAGCTTGTAACCCACATTTTACCGGTTTTTGTTTAACGGGTAACCCGTGTGAAACACAAAACAGTTCGGTCCGAGTTCGTCCGCTTTGTCAGTATCAGCATTGCGTACATAAAAAACTTATAATAACGATTACCATAGCATAAAAACCCACACTGTACATTTGAATTTCAACTTCTTCAGAGGTTACTCTGCATTTCTACAAGATTAAAGTCAAGTGTTGACAGGACGATAAGGATCTTGGTGAATTACGACACTTGCGGGGATTTTCATAAATACTGACAAGGAGCAAATTCGAAACGGAATCTTCAGCGATTATGTTGCTGTGTATTGTAACACCGGGTAAACACCTGTCTCTAAACCCGCACTTAACAAGGAAGCATGCGTGTTTGTATTGTTGGTCATTTTCGGCATCCTAAGCAAACAGATGAGTGAAAGTTAGGTTCATAAACTGTAACAGAATTTACAAACGTTTTGCACCCAGAATGAACAAATATTGGTCAGGAATTAACAAACTTGAACTTGTCTGAGCACCTGAATAAGTGTAAGTACAGTAGTAATCGAAAGTAGTTCCTAAGGCGTTAAATAAGCATAATTCCTAGTATGCCCTCATTAAAGCTTTTTATCTGTTGCCTGCTGAAACCAAAAGTTGCAAAACAGCCTTATCTATCTTTCCTTTTGAACAAGTTACCTTCCCGGGAGAGCCGCCCTTCGACAAAATCAGAAATCCACTGGCATTTGACATGTTGATTTTGAATGGCGCACACTATATACGCTAAAGCCAGGACATCCAGGACATCCCTGTCCCCAGTAAAATACCTCGTTGTTGATTTATCTGACTTATGAATTATGGTTTTCTAATCACGTGGTGGCACGGGTGCTTAATCATTGATGACAAAGAAATGTAGCAAACAGGCAATTAGACGAGCTAAATGCTTGTTACGCTGATGATATCATCCAATAACGGCTACTGTTGGAAGGCTACACGATCATGGTGGATAGCCATTGGAATACCACGTACGACTTATAAGTGCTATTATAAATAATAAGAAAGGCTTTCCATCGACACATAAAAGCTACCTTTGGAAAGCAAATTTTCAGGTGGACGGAGTTCTCGCGTTTTTTCCTTGATTTTCGACTACAAATTTTCTAACACGAATTCTGGTGGTCAATTGAATACTCGTTCGCAGATCAAACAGGTGGTTGAAAAGTTCACCTAGTGACACTGGTGATTGAACAAGTTGGATAATAACACACAAAAGGTAACGTGAGATTGCGCTACACCATAATGCGAAATAATATTGGTTCTAATAAAATACCCTTACATAGGATCTTGCTTCACCTCACTTTGGTATCGAATTGCTCAGCTGCAGCATACGTTGGAGAAGTCTTTTATTTTACACTCCCCCCAAAACTAATTCAGTGGGCCAGTGAACGAGGGTTCACAACTAGGAGTCAGCGAATCGTACATTATAAGACTTTCTTCTTTCAGTGGAAGCGTCGTTTCCTACCAGGAATCACGTTTGTTTGCCTACCTGGTAGTTTAGATTTAACCTAAAAGGGAATTGTAAACTGTTTAACATACAGTTTATCGTCAATCGTAATTCACGAATCACTGGTGATATGAAACAAAAACTGCTAAAATGTTCGTTTTATTCTGATATTCAGAGGTTGCATGCAAATTATAAATAAAATTGCATTAAGGATTAGGAAGTGGTTCTTAGTCAAACAAGTTGTATCAGCGTGGGAAATGTTTACGACACATAATCGTTGTTGGGCACACTCGATTTCAGCATCACTGGATTGGTTTTGAACCCACATTTCAGGTCAAGCTGTCGGCTTCCCGTTGTATCTCTGACCCTTCTCAACGGAGATTTTGATTTTTATGCGTTCTGCTTCAACTTGTTCATTGCTTATTTATCTTTGCCGGAAAGCACGTTGAGTGGTTTGTTGCGTGTGATCGCTGGGACGAAAGTTTGACGAAGTTGCTGCTGAGCGTTTTCGTCGAGTCCAAGAGATTTCGTCGCTGCTTCTAGACTGGCTAAATACTCCAGTTTTGTCGCGTCTTTGAAGTTGAAATTAAGTCCTCTGACGAGAACATTTTCCTCAGCTTCCGTCAGTTGCCTTTTGGACGGATTCATTATCTAGGCTCCGGCAGACAAGGGACGCCTAACGGTGAGCACGAACAAACCGGACTACATCAATGAAAAAAAGGCACTACTTAACGACACAACTATGCACCATCGCTTAGAACGCGATCAAAGCAAGCAGCTAGCAAGCAAAATCAATAAGAACTTGGAGCAACTCCAAGATCTCCACAAGATTACAAAGATTACAAGAATATTGGAGAATGAGAGCTCGTGATTCGGCCACTCCTCGCTGCTAAGGACTCCCAAAGGTACACAAAGAATCAATACCTCTCCGACCAATTGTATCACTTCATGGAACAGCGACCTACAATCTTTGGAAAGAACTATGGAAAAATTTAAAGCATCTCATCGGTGGGTGGCAACACTCAATCAACAATGCGGGACACTTTTTGGAGAAACCAAATCACGTAAGCATCGATCAGGACAAAATAATGGTTTCATTTGATGTGAGCTCACTATTCACGTCTGTAAACCTCGATTTAGCCAAGAGAACTTGGCCAAATTATTGGACAACAACGGCACGCCAACTGGATCGCTGGAGAATGAAGACCTCTGCAGATTACTCGACTTATGCCTAATCACACATTTTGAGTTCAACGGAGAATATTGTGAACAACTACGAGGGACACCAATGGGATCGCCGATTTCAGGATTCATTGCAGGAGTCACAATGCAAAAATTGCCACAAACAAGCTGCGTTCGGACACTTTTCGAATGAATTGAGACACACTGCAGCACAACAGAATCGAAGATCAAAGAAGAAAAGCACCTATACAGACTGTTTCAGAAAAATGGATACCCGAAGAATTTCATCTAGAAAACACTCAGGAAGCCAAATACGATCGATGCAACAGGACAAAATGCAAGCAAGAGGGTCACACTCCCGTACATCAAGAACACCGCTGAAATGACGGCAAGGCTCTTACGACAGCACAATATAGTGGTCGCACACAAGTCTGCGAACACTCTAAGGAGGACACTATCAAGACCAAAAGGGAAATTAGATCCAATGGCGAAGAACAATGTCATATACAGGATCCAATGCAAGGGCTGCGACAAACGGTATGTAGGACCAACAGGAAGGAAGCTCTCCGGCAGAATACATCAACACAAACTCGCCACTAGGAGACACGATCAGTTCTCCCTCATCTCCGCACACAAAGATCAGGAGGGGCAGGAGTTCGACTGAAGCGGCGTTTGCATATTGGCTCAAGCAAGAACAAAAAACGAAGACGAACTTATGGAAGAAGCCATCAACAAACATATCGAAATTGATCCCATTTACCAGCCACTATGAGCGACAGAACCCCAGAACCACCGAAATTAGAGCCACAAAATCAACCAGACGAGGAAATCATAAGAGAAGGAGGAAAACATCATTCAGACGGACACATCAATTAGATTGGAGGAAGCGCCTAATCAAAGCACCAAATCAGCCGACGGACGAAGGGACACTGATCGCTACAGTGGAGAAAATAGGGCGGCACAAGCAGCCAAGCAAACTCAGGAACGTCAGACCACAACGCAATACAAACGAGGCCTGAAAGAACAAACTACTAAAAATAGAAGGTGTGAAGATAACCAATCAACACAAAGGAATGCAGACCACGACGCAACAAAGATCACAAACGGACCAATAGGTTCACCAAATTTGCTACACTTTAAGTAGTCAATCACCTCAGGAGATAACAGATAGCCTTCAAATGCTATATAAACGTGCGCAGGCAAGGAAGAAGTACCCACTCCACTGCGTACTGATGATGTCTCCTCATAAGCTGACGAAATGTCTGCAAGCCAATTGCCAAGCTCGGCAAACAGATCAACAGCCACCTGATTAACAACCAGTAAACTCACCCGAGCTATCAATATTTCAACAAATTACCAAATACTTGACTTTCTAACTATGCCCTTTTAAAGGAGCATAACCCATTACCAGTATGATTTTGATACTCCTGAAGTGGGTCATTTTAAATTAGTCAATAACTTGCAGTCACAAACATCGAGGAATAATAACAAAACAGTTTGGCAATGTCCGCTTCCAGTCCTTAGAGAAGTCTGTGCTTGACAAATCAGTTAACACGCAAAAAGTGTTGTGATTGGTCCATTTTAGAAGCCAATCGTCTTTCAGTCTTGTTTTTGTCTATTGTATATATGCAAATGTTTCTTGATCTCATTCAGTTCTTTCTGCTGGCGAACCATGATAGCACAAAAAGTGACCGTTTTGTGTCTCACATTCCTTGTTGTCGGTGAGTTTCCTCAGATTTTTTGCACTAACTTAGTTCAAGATGTGCACCAATGTGTCCATCAATTTACCGTCAGATAAGACTATAACAATAGCAGAATTACCAGATTAAATGGCAGTGATTTTAAATTCATGGCGAGAAACAAATAATGCTTCATCGTGAAACTACTGAAATGATTTGTTACCTGGCTAAAACTTACCGCATCAGACGGACTCATTTTAACACTTCTTTACATATTACATTGCTTAGGTCTGCTTCTTGTTTCCAATCGCCCAAAATGAAGTCTTTACACCTTGCTGCCCTTCATTATCCTGCCGTCTCGGTAGCTGACCGTACACCCTGTACTGGCGTACCTACGTTGTATTAAAGCGGAACACGTATCATTGAAAGAAAAGGACGCATTGAAAAGCTATCTACAAAGACGAATGTAATAAAAGCATTGCAATACACCGTATTTTTAAAACGGCTCACAGATATTCATGAGGACCCATGTGACCATGCAAGATCTCTGCTGTTTGTCAAAAATAAATTAAGATACATGCAAACTCATCACTTTTATACATCCTGGACATGGTGCAATAACGCTTTTTGTTGCAAACGTTTAGGGACAAAAATGTTTCCTTGAAACACTGTATAGCTTATGGTTAGCGAATTACGCCACTGTTATTTTAAACAGCATAACAGTCTACGATAATGTGAGGTCCATGAGCCTACATCACTACTGGTGAATGTGAAACAGAAGGGAGATATAGATATAGATAGGGCTAGTGAGTAAACACCGATGACTGGCAAATGTAAACTAAGCGCGTTAAACCTGAGGTATTCTATTCTGCAGTTGGAGGATTTTTGGTTGACTGGATAGGCAGCACATCAAAAAACTAGGATAACAAATGTTCATATAAAAACGTAGGACTAGTTATTTTTTGGTGATCTTTACAAAAGGGGCAAATTTTGTGTCAGGTACTGCAGTGTGACTACGAAGCTGTGCGTACCTTAACGGCATCTGTTCAGGTACGCATTGCAATCTGAAAACAGGCAGTGGTCCATGTGTGCACTAACGTAGATATTTGCCATTGGAAGCTGGAAACAAACGATTCTGTTTTGGCGATAAAATGAGCAACGGAGAATTTTTCAAGTGCAATTATTCCAAACTACTGCAGCTTCCTATATACAACTCGGCATTTCAGCATTTTTACAATTTGCTTGCTGATGTGGGAAAATGGGATTGGTATCTTGACGCTTGCTTGAAAGCTGCACATGAGACATGCGCTGATTTTAGGAAAGCAATTTATCTACTGTACCCACAAAGCAGATAACACCAGTAAATACGTAATTATTTGATATTTATCATATCTAGACATCATGTCTTTGTATTTGCTTTTAAAGCATGCCTGTATCATTATTACATAAACGCGTAACCGTTACAGTCGTCGCGCAAGGAAGAGACGGTATGTGACTAACTTTTCCATGTGGTGACTGCTGATTAAATTACCTAGAACTAGCTTAATTCTTGGTTACGGTTTGCTTTGTGTTTGTAGGTAAATGTGCTAACATATCCTATCGTATAAGTAGATTTTTATAGGTAAAACATTATCTTACATTACAGATAGGAAATGGTCTGCTCTCATAAAACTTTGACAAGATCTAGCAGTTTCACGAAAGGAGAAATACGCAGTTATTTGGGGTTTCCTTTCGAGGCGCTGACATTGGTATGCATTATTGAAAAACTTCCGCTCAAACTGCGCATGTTATCTTAGAATGTCTCATTTATTTAGAAAAAATCACGGATCTTTAATTCACTGGCGCTCGCATGGACGTATTTTTAAACCGGCAGGCGTACATAAACGCCAAGCAAAGAGCCTGTGTTGTTTTTAGGCCCAGCTTTATATTTAAAATTCATATAAAATATGGCCGATTCAGGCGAACGAGGGTGTAAAATAGAGGGAATAGATAAGACTGCGATTCAAACCAAGAATTTGCCGATCGTTCAAAGGAAGAAATACTACTAAAATAGAAATGGCCCTGAAGTCAATCAAATTAAAGCTCACAACGGAATAAAAATTGTAAACGGGCCAATCAAAAATTGACCTAAAACGCCTCAGATATGCGCGTATCAGTAACTGGCCCAAAAACGGATAATGAAAGGTGCATACCGAAAATTTAGTCGTGTGAGAATATAAGCTGCTCGTCGAAAACCACATAAATAAAGATAGGTACAGGACGAGTGAGAGAGCTCAACACTGAAGATGTGTTTTCGAATAAGAGGAGAACGTTTGTGCGTTAATTGTGAAGAACGACGAGCAGATTAACAGTGATCTAATCAACCACGGCAAATGGAAGTTATGTTGTGAGTTTGATATGGAAGTAGGTATATGGAGCGTCTTCTCTATAAGCGCAAGAGTGACCTGATTTCAAGCAGTAACAATGCACAATATCAGCAAGCTGCACCGATTTGTTCTCAGCGTGCTTCAGATTCAACATCCCACTTTAGGTGAAAATCAGCTGCTTAAGTGTGACCGTTATAAGTTTTGTAAAACAGCACCAGCGCAACGCGCCATCTTGATTCATTAAACTTCGTGTTAAATTCGTCTGGATAAGAGGCGAGCTTGCTTGTAGGGTTTGTACACATAGCACGCTGTGTAAACTCATATACTTCCCTTCCTGTCTTGTTATTTCATTTATTTCAAACTATTTTTAGTTTGTTCTAATCGGCCGATATGGCATATCCGGATTTGTTTGGGATGGATAATCATATAGTGGCCACTACCAAAACGTCCACCTTATTATCAACATTTTTTACCACCAGTTGAAAAGTGATTTACGCATACACGTCAGCACAAATACTTAAACATTCATGCTAAAAAGTCCTCTGAATAATCAAATACTTGCCGCTTCTACTGGCCACTGCGGCAAGTGAACAAAACATTTTCTCCACAGATGTGATTTAGCCATGTCGAAATTTGGTTTCAACAAATTACACATTCTACGCGCTATGACCGGTAGTGCTTGCTCATTGAGTGAGCAAGTGAGTAAGAGAGATGATTGATAGATTGCGCACACTTTTGTATTGTTTAGTGTTGTATACGTTTTGTGTTGAGTAGACGTAAAATTATGTCTATTGCTCTAAAGATTGTTG